AACAAGTGCATCGCTTCTAGTAACAAAGGCCTTACTAGTAGTAACAAGAAGCTACTAGGAACAAGAAGCTATAGGAACAAGTGCATCGCTTCTAGTAACAAAGGCAATACTAGTAGTAGTAACAAGAAGCTACTAGGAACAAGAAGCTATTAGGAACAAGTGCATCGCTACTAGTAACAAGTGCTGGAAGGATAATGAAGGATCGTGGATCTTCAACCGCAGCTGTCGACCAGTCGTCGACCAGTTGTCGACTTTCAGGCGCTTAAGAATATTCTGATCCAAATGTATGGCTCCAAGGCGAGGGCTTTGGACCGTAGTTGACTGGTGTTCTCCAGGACAGTCCCACTTAGAAACATCCTTCCTCACGGCCATCCCCCTTTTGAGACCTCTCCAGACCTCTCAACTCTGATCGGCAATCCACAAAGCTGCATTCAGAGTCTTCAACATGCGAAAGAAGTGGTTGGGAGGCCGTCGCTATCAGGCTATTAGAAAGAAGCGGCCTTGGGAACTCAAAGATGAGCATGTCAAAGGGGTGGGTGCAGATACAATACAGGGATGATGCAGGTAGAATATTGAATATGCCGATTTGACATTGATGAAGGACCGTTGCTATCCCAACCCGTAACATTTGGCCCTTGAGCACTCTAGATATCTACAAAGACATTGAGATTGTGAGGGAAAACGGCTCCTTGTTGATCCAATGGCTTGCCATGCAACGTTAAAGCTGCAACATATTCCAACAACATGTTTTTCACACCCGCCCTAATGCGATGTTTGAATATTCTAAGTGCATGCATGTATGTAATTTTTGAATATTGTCACTGCTAGCCCGCTATGTTAGGTTGGAGGCCATTGCTATTGAGCCTCACACTTTCATCCCCAAGACTAGACTAATCTTTTGTCCCAAAGATAAGGTCTCGACCATAACACGAGGCAGGCCCTTGGGTCTACAAGCCCCTACCTGGAACACAGTGGTCGGTTCCAACATTCCCATACCCGTCGTGTTCCAGGTGCAGCATTTACCCAAGACCCTTTCCCTTTTTCTGACAACAATGTTTCCCTGTCTCTACCTTTTTAGCCCGTGGCCCTGCTTCCTAACTTAATTAAGTAAGGGAGTAGTTCGCTCCTAGCTACTTAAGCTACTACACATGGACCCAGGATAGCTCACGCTTCCTCAAGGAAGCCCCCCCCCGCCTGAGGGCTAGGGGAGCTTTCTTGAAGAAGTGCTCGCACTAATAGCTTGGTTCCTAGACTTTTAGGGAAGCTTAACAAACTATGTCTCCCTGCCGTTACCTTTTCTTGTCTTTTGCTTTCTGCTCCTTTTGCCTTAGAGCTTTTAGACTTCTTTGTTCTTCCTTTCTTCCTTTCCCCGTCTCTCCCTTCCTCCTCCTTCCTTCCTTCCTTCCTTCCAGGATTTCCTGAACAACCATCTTGGCTTCATTGCAGCGGAAGCGGCAAGCCCTGTGCTGGTGGATGCGTTTCTGGCTTTCAAGCGGGGCTGGGATGAGTTCAGGCGGGATCTGGACGCGGACTTGACGCATTCGGTGAACTTTTTGCGACTGTGAGGCCGTCGGATGAGCTGCGAATGCAGGATTTGCAAATTGCGTATATCTATGGAAATCCGAATGCGGTTGGGTCGAAGGACTCCTTTCTGCGTTTGCATTTCTGCGTTTGCATTCTTCGCTTTTCCTTTGACTGTGTGCTGTGGCAGGACAATTTGGACTTTGCCCAAGGAGAAATGGAAAGAAAGTAGACTTGATACTGCATCCGACTACATCATAGTTAATTTGTACTTGCAGAAACTCCCCCCCAGAAAGTCTTTTGTTTAATACTGCGAGTCTAAACTGTTCAATGCTTTCTTTCTGCCGTACCTTGGGCATCTCCACCTTTCTGTATCTATGTGTGGGGAAGCGTTGTGCGGAGGAGACGAATACTATCATCAGGCACACAAGCAGTTCCATCCTACCTACCGAGCAATCCTTTACGAGCGCAACTACTATGACATTTTCATTTTCGATTTGCAAGGCTGGGGGAGAGGTGAACATTTCGATCATTGTAAGAAGACTTATGCAGAGACGTCAACCAGATTCACTGGTACCAAGGCAATCTGATTTACTCGGTGTACAAGGACCATTTTGTGCATTTGTCTATAATTATTGAGCTAGGACGTTTCAAATTCAGTCATATTGAGGTCAGAGTGATGGGTGATTGAGATGAGGAGCTGGATTATGCTACAAATTTCTTGGCCAATGGTGCCGGGGAATGGAAGGATAGTGGCCTTGGAGAAGCTTTCCGCGCCGCCGTGGTCAACCCCGATATCATCAACATCATAGACTGGAAGCCTTACGGGCTCCTTGGCAGCGTTTGGGTTGAAAGCAGCTGAAAAAACAGCTGAACACTCAAAGATATCGCTCGTCGCTCACCCGTTTGGACTCTTTCCAGTCTTTGGTGTGAGTTGCTATATCCAGTACACTACAGCTAGTGAGTTGGACATACAGGTCAGAATTTGTTGATTGATATGAATTATTATGTTTTTTCGTATAGAAAGGAGCCTCTCCTGTTTGACAGTGCTTCGGTCACAGTACCCATGGGCCCCTGGGCACCACGATTCACCGGCTGTCCCATGCATTCTGTCCATCCTCAGGGTACGTGCACACAAGAAGCAGGGAGGGAGTTTCACCGCCACAAACGCTCCAGGTTTCCTAAAGTCACAAAAAGACGACAGAGATGCCCTTGTTATACTGGTAGCGGTGCCCTAAGGCCAGGAGCTAATAATAGCGTCCTTGCTCCTAGTAGCGACGCCCTTGTTACTAGTAGCTTCTTGTTCCTAGTACTAAGGCCAGGAGCTACTAGTAGC